CCTCGGACCTCGGAGGGGAGGGCAGTGCGGAAGGGGCGGGGCTTGGCCCCTGGAAGGGCGGGGTCGGGGAGGCTTGTTCGAATGGGCGGGGCCTGAGTGACAAGAAGGGCGGGACTTAGTCGGGCATCCCAGGACCCTCAACCCTGAGCCGATGGTCCGAATCCTGCCCACAGGAGTTCGCGGCTCTGACGAAGGAGTTGAACTTATGTCGGGAGCAGCTGCTGGAGAGGGAAGAAGAGATTGCGGAGCTGAAGGCGGAGCGGAACAACACACGGGTGAGGGGTGTGGGGCGTGGCCTCGGTGTTGCAGGCTGACCCCCACATCTTGTTTTCCTGTCTTCTTCTCGGCTCCCACTTCCGGCCTAGCCACCTCTTCTGGTCCCCCTCCTTCCTCTGTGTCCCCTTTCTGATCTCCATGACTGTTTCCTGTTCGTGCACCTCCCTTCCTTGATTTTGCCTCTGTTATCCCTCTTTTTTCACCACCTGTCTCAGTGCCCTATGCTTGGCTCCCCCTCTTCCTCTCTGTGTCCTCCCCACTTGTCACCCCTCCCTGGGATCCTGCCCCTTCCCCGTAGCCTCTTTTCCTTGACTTGGTATCCTATTCCTCTAGCTCCTCCTGGAACATCTAGAGTGCCTCGTGTCCAGGCACGAGAGGTCACTGCGCATGACCGTGGTGAAGCGCCAGGCCCAGTCTCCTGGCGGGGTCTCTTCCGAGGTGGAGGTGCTCAAAGCGCTCAAGTCCCTCTTCGAGCACCACAAGGCCCTGGATGAGAAGGTGTGAGAACCAGAAGAACGAGGACGAACAGGAACTCATGGTTGACTGGGCCGTCCAGAGTGGGGGAGATTCTGGCTGTTATTTGCTGGGGATGTCCTAAGTGGGAGGAAGGTTTACTATGCCCGACTGTGACAGGCCCCGAGGGCTGCGTGCGACCAGAATGGTTGATAAAAGGAAAATACTGTAAACTGGGGTGCTCAAGAAAGGGCTGCCAGTGGGAGAGGCTGCCGGGCCTCTGGTGGGAGCCACACACTCATTTAGAGAGTGGAATCCTTATTGCCCTATTCAGCCAGTCCCGGGGTGGTGAGGGTTTGGGCCACGGTCACTTGTCCCAGATTCGTTGTGGTCTCCATCTCATTCCTGTCCTCCCCCATCCTCATCCCCAGGTCCGGGAGCGGCTGCGTATGGCGCTGGAGCGAGTGGCAGTGCTGGAGGAGGAGCTGGAGCTGAGCAATCAGGAGGTCGGTTCCTTGGGGCGGAACTACCAATGGGCTGAACTGATCAGGCAGACAACCAATGGGGTTTCATCATGCAAGGAAACCAGTGGGGTCTGGGGGAAGATTGTATTGGACAGGGCTTAGCGGAGAACCTCCCAGTGAGAGCGAGGCTAAGGGAAGAGCCTAGATCTGGGGCTCAGACTGGGATTGAAGAAAACACCGCTAAATGGCAGGACTAAAGAGGAAACCTCTACCTTTCCTGTAGGTAGTAAAACCAGAGTTCCCAGAGCCTTTTGTTCTGATCCTCATTTCCTTTTCCAGACTCTGAGCCTTCGAGAGCAGCTGTCTAGGAGGAGATCTGGGCTGGAAGAGCCGGGAAAGGATGGAGACGGGCAGGTGAGAGGTGAAAGTCCCCTCTTTATGACACCTCCAAACTCCCTGGCTTTGTGATGGTCATTTATGTTTGTTATGGTCCAAACTGACCCTAGGACATGTGAACTCCTAGCACCCTTTATGGCTTTTGACCTCTGATTCAGGTCACCTAGTAGCTTCTGTGACCCTGGTGGACTCTGATCTGCAAGATCCATAATGGTCTTAGATCCTTACCCCCATCACCCGAGCTGCTCAGTCTTCCCCTCAGATCCCCTCTACATCTCTGTGTTCCCCGCTCTAACTTCTGTGTCTTCCTCTCACTCCAGACCCTTGCCAATGGCCTGGGTCCGGCTGGGGATTCCAGCCGGCGCACCGCAGAGCTGGAGGAGGCCCTGGAGCGGCAGCGTGCAGAGGTGTGCCAGCTTCGGGAGCGCCTGGCTGTGCTGTGCCGGCAGATGAGCCAGCTGGAGGAGGAGCTGGGCACCGCTCATCGTGAGCTGGGAAAGGCCGAGGAGGCCAACTCCAAGCTGCAGCGCGACCTCAAAGAGGTGAGGCCACAGCCCCCAGTGTGCTGACCTTTGATTTCCCTCCTCCCAGCCTTTTCCCCTTTAGCCAAAGTCATTGAGCTCATGAGTGGTAGAACCTGGATGCAGTTGTCAAGCCATGTGGACTCTCCTGTCTGAGTGACTGCCTGGCAATTATGTCGCTGTGGTGCATCCTCTTGTGCCCAAAGTGGAATCTCCGTGTGTGTTTGCTCACGTGCATGTGTTGAGATTGAGCCAGAGCACTCACATGGAGCTACATCTCCAGCCCTCTTTATTTTAAAAATTTCCTAGGTTGGTTTTTTTTTTTGTTTTTTTTTTGTACTGGGGATCAAACTTGGGACCTTGTACTTGCAAGGCAGGTGGTGGAACCACTGAGCTAAATCCCCAGTCCTTTATTTTAAAATTTTGAGACAAAGTCTCACTAAGTTTCCCAGGCTGGACTTGAACTTGTGATTTTCTTGCCTCAGCCTCCCAGGGTATTGGAATCACAGGCGTGTACCATTACCACAGGCTTAAACTGAATCTTTTGTTGGCCTTGTACCTTTCCTGACTTATTAAGCCCCTTGCCCCTAATCCTAACACTCCAGGAAGTGTGGGGCCTGGTTTCCTGAAGGTGGTGCTTAAGAAAGTAGAGTGAGCACTTTATTTCACCTCATCCTTAGGCTTTCACTCAGGACGTTAGGTCACTAGCACTGTTAGGAAATGTGTTCCCACCATGAGGGCTCCCAGATAGGAGCCCATTGCTCTTCATAGCCTGGAGTGCCTCAGCTGGGTTTTAAACCTGTGCTGCCTTGGTGGCGGGGTGCCCTCTAAGTGGAAGGGGATTTGACACCCATGAGACAGGAGTGCACATGCTCTGTAATTCCAAGTCCATTTTGGGCTGGAAGTGGTTGGGAAACCTAAGACTTTTTTTTTTTTTTTTTTTTTTTTTTATAACAAAGGTGTCTTGACTTCATGTCACAGGGGCCTTTGGGCTATCTATAGGGAAAATCTCACTCAGAGTGCCCTAGAAGATATGGAAGGTGTGGCGCACCACTTTAACTTTCAGGTGTCAGGGGATTTAAGGTACCATCGCTTGACACCCAGAGAGGAGGGGACTTCATTTCCTGGGTGGCCCTGCCTGGGTTCTAAACCTAGGATACCCCAGGGGCTTCTGGGAGTTGTAGTCCATGTGGACCCCACGCCCCCAGGCACTGGCTCAGCGGGAGGACATGGAGGAGAGGATCACCACGCTGGAAAAGCGCTACCTGAGTGCCCAACGTGAGGCCACGTCTCTGCATGATGCCAACGACAAGCTGGAGAATGAGCTGGCCAGCAAGGAGTCGCTGTACAGGCAGGTGAGTGCCACCCCGCACCCCCACCCTCACGGAGAGGTGATGTGGGCCATACTCTGGCCTATGTGACTACTTTTCCCTTTCCATACCTCTGCCTGTCCCTGCCCCAGAGTGAAGAGAAGAGCCGGCAGCTGGCTGAGTGGTTGGACGATGCCAAGCAGAAGCTGCAGCAGACACTGCAGAAGGCTGAGACCCTGCCCGAAATAGAGGCGCAGTTGGCCCAGCGGGTGGCAGCGCTCAACAAGGTGAGGGAGGCAATGTGGGCGGGGCCTAGAGAAGGCCTGGCCTTGAATCCCCAGGAGTTGGAGGAGACCCCGGGCCTGGGGTCTAGTAAAGGAGGACTAGAAGTGGGGCAGGGCTTGGGGGTTTAAGGAGGAGGGACAGCATACTCTAGTTTGAACTAAAAGGACGAAAGGACAGAGCCAGGTGTTGTGGCATATGCCAGTAATCGATCCACTCTGGAAGGCTGGGTCAAGAGGACTCCAAGTTTGAGTCAAGCCTGGACAACCTCTCGTGCTCCTGTCTCAAAATAGGGAAAAAAGAAAGGAAGGAAGAAAAGAAGATAAACTAAAAAGAGCTGGGGATATGGCTCAGTGCAGAGGCCCTGGGTTCAATCCTCAGTATGCTCAGTATGAAAAAAAAAAAAAAAAAGCCAGGCATGGTGGCGCATGCCTGTAATCCCAGCAGTTGAGAGACTGAGGCAGGAGGATCATCATGAGTTGGAGGCCAACCTGGGCTAGATAGTGAGTTCAGGGTCAGCCTGAACTACAAAGGGAGGCCCTGCCCCCCACAAAAGTGGCTTGCAACCTGAGGTGGGTGGATATCAGGTCTTGAGAAAATAGACTAGATGGAAAGTAGACTGGGCGGGGCCTGGATGGCAGGGGAGGAGCCTGGAGCCCGGTGGGTGGGGCATTGCACCTAGCCTTCTGCGGCAAAGACGGGGGCTGTGGGTTTTGTCTGCTAGGCTGAGGAACGTCATGGGAATTTTGAGGAGCGGCTTCGGCAGCTGGAAGCCCAGTTGGAGGAGAAGAACCAGGAGCTGCAGCGGGTGAGAGGGCTGAGGACTGCAGAGGGGGATGCTTTGGGGAAGGGTGGGGCTTAGATGAGGGGGCGGGGCTCGACGCCGAGGAAGGGCCTGGGCGGGACCAGTCCGAGCCCCGCTAAAGCCCGTGCATTTCTTTGCGCAGGCGCGGCAGCGGGAAAAGATGAACGACGACCACAATAAGCGGCTGTCAGAGACGGTGGACAAGCTGCTGAGCGAGTCCAATGAGCGGCTGCAATTGCACCTCAAGGAGCGCATGGGGGCGCTGGAGGAGAAGGTGTGCCCCACCCGGACTTTCCCTAAATCTCCCTCAACCCGCATTCCTGCATTCCAGCTTGCTCCTTGCTGAGACCGCTTTTTCATGTCACTTGAAGATCCAAGAGCTGATTTGTAGGGGAGCCCATGCCCTGAGCCCTTGGCTTTTCCCAAAGCCCCAAACTGTGTGGACCTTTAAATCCTGAAGGCTTGGAGATTACAGACATCCGGACTTCACTCCCCAATCCCCCCTTCCTGCGGCTCAGCCTGTGTCCCCACCCCTCCCTCTGGTTTCCCCTCTCCGCTGTGCACTGGTGGCCGCGGCAGCCCAGGGGCTTCCGGCTTCGCTCTCACCTAAGCCCTGTCCCCGCAGAACTCACTGAGTGAGGAGATCGCTAACATGAAGAAGCTGCAGGATGAATTGCTGCTGAACAAGGTGAGGCCTGGGACAGGGGGCAGATGGCAGATAGCAGCGGCTGCTGAGGTTGGGATCAGAGGGGCTGGAAGTGACGTCCTGGGCAGGGCAGATTCTCAGCCTGTGCTTCCAACCCCTACCCCAGGAGCAGCTCTTGGCTGAGATGGAGCGGATGCAAATGGAGATCGACCAGCTTCGGGGGAGGCCACCTTCCTCCTACTCCAGGTGACAGCAGCCCCCTGCCCGCTCTGGTCAAGCTCTTTCCTTCTGATCCCTATTCGCTGCCCTGCAGAGACTGCCACGCGTCCCTCTTATTTTTGACCTTAGATTCATGACCTTTGTGCCTAGGCCTGTCCTCTGACTCCCGACTCTGTTCCCTTTCCCTGACCCCTGCCTGACTGCCCTCCCTATGCCCACAGGTCTCTCCCTGGCAGTGCCCTGGAGCTCCGTTACTCTCAGGCACCCACTTTACCTTCTGGTGCCCCCCTGGACCCGTATGGGGCTGGCAGCGGCCGGGCAGGCAAGAGGGGCCGCTGGTCGGGGGTCAAAGACGAGCCCTCCAAGGTCAGCAGCTGTGCGGTGCTTGGGCGGGCAGCGATGGGGCATGGAGCCACTCTGGGAGACTCAGAGAGGAGACTGGGTTGAGAGCCAGGGTCTCCTGGACTCACTGCTCTCCTCTCCTCCCTTCTCTACTCTCCTGCAACTCCGTTGTTCCCACCCACCTGCTGCTCCCCCATGTGAATGTCCCGGAACACGGTGAGCACTGGAGAGTAATGGGGAGGAAGAGGCAGAATCACAGAGAGGGTGGAGCCAAGTGAAGGAGAAAGTGGGCTGGGCTAAGGACACGTGGGAGGGGCGGGGTCATGGCTGTGGGCGTGACTCGGAGAACTTGGGGCGTGGTTAAGAAGAGGATCCACCAAGCAAGTGAGCTCCTCTAGGAGACACCAGCGCAGGTGGACAAAGTCAGGGTTGGTGAATGAAGACCCAGTGCCCGCCATGGCCCTGACCCACCTTGCATCCTTCTGTTACCACACAGACAGGACTGGGAACGCTCCACTCCTGCTGGGTCCATGCCACCCCCATTCCCTGGGGAGCTGGATGGCTCAGATGAGGAGGAGGCAGAAGGGATGTTTGGCGCCGAGCTGCTGTCGCCCAGCGGGCAGGCTGATGTGCAGACGCTGGCCATCATGCTCCAGGAGCAGCTGGAGGCCATCAACAAAGAGATCAAGTGAGCCCTCGCCAGCCCCGCCCAGCTGCCCTGCCTGACCCCACAGCCGGGTCTTTCCCACCACCCTCAAGGAATTTGTCAGCTCAGCATTCCCCCAAGTGTCCAGGAATCCCCAACGATACACCCAGAGGTCTCAGCTGGTTCTCACAATTTTCAGGCACATCAAAGGTTGCATTCGAAAACACCAACGTCATTGAGCTCGGTGCCAGTCAGTGGTGGAGTACTTGCCAGGCACATAGGAAATCCTGGGTTCTATCCTCAGTATCACAAAAGCAAAGCAAACACAGTTTTCAACTCACTGCATCAAGATCTTCAGTACACCATGAACTTCATGGCTTCACATAACTAGTACCCACAATCTCTGGTAACCCCGGAATCTCAACACAAGAAGGTCCCCAAGCAGAAACATCAAGAATCTCACACTAACACATTAATCAAGAACCTCAAGAGCTGAGTATTTAGCCCAGCAGTGCCGCCTCCTGCTTCGAAAGCACAAGGTCCCGAGTTTGATCCCCCATACCAAAACAAAACACAAAAAAACAAACCTCAACTTCATACCCAAATAATTTCTACCTAGTAGAAAAAAGCCTTCACTTTATGAAGACTCTCCCATGGAGAGCTATCCCAACTTCCCAGAAATCACTTATTTGGCAATTCTCTTAGCATAAAACATGGGCCTCCAGCTAGTAACCCAACAGGACCACCACCTTCGATTCAAACTCTGTTTATTGACTCTCAAGTACTGAATGACCTTGTGACTTTGCAGTTTGACCTCAGAGTCCCTGGTCTCACCCTCATCTTATCATGATCTTGCTCTTGCAACTTCTTGGAACATTCTCTCCCCCTATTTTTTTTTTTTTTTTGTACTAGGGATCAAACTCATGACCTTGCATTAAAGAGAAAGGTGTGGTGCCGCTCCCTATTTTTATTTATTTATTTTTGCCGAGTCTCTCTATGTAGTTCAGGCTGGCCTTGAACTCACTGTGTAACCCAGGCTGGCCATGAACTTGTGGCACTCCTGACTCTGTCTCCTGAGTGCTGAGGTTCCAGGTGTTCACCACCGTGCCCTGCTAGAACATTCTCTCTTGCCCATGGGTATCTTTTTATGATTTTATAGAACTTCTTATATAGTTATGATCCCCTCCTGGTACTGGGGCTCAAACTCGGGACCTTGCACTTGCCAGGCAGGCGTGGCAACACTGAGCTAAATCCCTGGCTCTTCCAGTGACTTCCTGATACCATCTTGACTGCTTGGCTCCCCTTGAACCCAGGAGGCCCTGGGGAATCCACCAAAGCCCTCTGACTTCAGGAACCTTCCCAGAGTTCTCCCGACCCCCATTCCTCCTGGTACTGGGGCTCAAACTCGGGACCTTGCACTTGCCAGGCAGGCGTGGCAACACTGAGCTAAATCCCTGGCTCTTCCAGTGACTTCCTGATACCATCTTGACTGCTTGGCTCCCCTTGAACCCAGGAGGCCCTGGGGAATCCACCAAAGCCCTCTGACTTCAGGAACCTTCCCAGAGTTCTCCCGACCCCCATTGCGATCCCAGGTTCTCTCTTACCTGGTCTCTCCTGTTTCCCTCCCCAGGTTAATCCAAGAGGAGAAGGAGACGACAGAACAGAGGGCCGAGGAGCTGGAAAGCCGAGTGTCCAGCTCTGGCCTGGACTCCCTGGGCCGCTACCGCAGCAGCTGCTCCCTGCCCCCTTCCCTCACCACTTCAACCCTCGCCAGCCCCTCTCCCCCCAGCTCTGGCCATTCCACACCTCGCCTGGCACCGCCCAGCCCTGCCCGAGAGGGCACTGACAAGGCTGTGAGTGCTCTATGATCTCCATGGCAGGGGCAGAGGTTGGAAGCAGGGTTTCCCAACAGACAGCAGCAACAAGCCCTGCAAACAGTGTTTCTGAGGCATGCTCAGCTTTCCCTGGAACGTCCAGCCCAGAGGACAGGGAGGCTAAGACACTGGATTCTGGAAGCCCCGATTTTACTTCAGTCACATCTGGTCTATTGTCTCATCCCTCTAGAGTCTGCATTTTTTTTTTTTTTTTGAGATGTGGGTCTTCTGCTGCCCAGCCTAGTGCAAGTCTCAAACTCTTGAGTTCAAGTAATCCTCCTGCCTCAGCCTCCCAAGTAGCTGGGGCTACAAGACTCTGTTATCATGTCCAGCTACATAGGATTTTTAAAAATTCTTCTTTAACAAAATTTTGAGAACTACAATTAGATCCTCGGAATTGAACTTAGAAGCAAAGAGATATTTTTATCATTATTTGCCTAAACCCAGCTTTTCTGATTGCAGAATCTATAACTCATTAGCTTTGAGGCCCATCATATTTCACTCCTGACACCAAAAGCAAAGTTACTTCGAGCTTGTCAATTGCCTGGGAAACTGCAGTCTATGACTTTATGGCCCCCACTTAATCTAGGCTACTCTGTCTTCTTGTTCTTGTTTCTGTTGCTGTTGCTGTTGTCT